ACTGGGCTCTGCTCCCCCAGGTCTATCTGGTTTGTTTGTCCGAGGTGCCATTGGCTTGGCTGACATTAAGCGCCCGCCTTTGGAAAACAAGTGCATCTCCCACCTGCTGTGGGGCCCTTGCACCGAATCTGGCTCTGTGTTTGCCACCCAGGAAGTGCAAGGGCTTGTTTGTGCCCAGGGCTTTCCCTGCGATGAACACCTGTCTGGCTAGTTATGGGCTGCTCCACTGCCCTGAAATCCTGTTTGATATATGGGATGAGTCAACATCTCAGCCCTCGGCGCACATGTAAACAAAGCGGACAGCCTGGCAGCTGTAATTGCTACCACCTGGTCCATCCGGGATTGGCTTGTTCCACCTCCCATCCAAAGACCTTATGTTCTTACCTTGGCCGGTTCTCCTGGAGCCCCTTCCCCAGGTGCCATGGCAAGTGGAGGCGGAAGGTCGGTTTTCCAGCTCGGAAGAGCCTCCAGCCATTAAAGCCCAGCCGGTTGCTTGCAGTGCCAGCTGAACGGTGCGGTGGTGGGCTCCAGAAATGCAGTGCCAGGCCCTCTGCTGCCAGCACTGCTGGAGAGGCTCTACCTAAGCTCTCGGCTGGAGGCTAGCTGCGTCAAGAGGCCATGCAGGGCTCTGGAGGGTGTCTCTCTCTCACATGCTCTCAGCCACTTTGCAGGGGAGAGGAGCTGTTTCAAATCCACACCGGAGGAGAGCAGGCTGGAGAGCTCCGGCCTCTCCCGCGGATTGCGTAACAGAAAATGCAGGCGAGCGGCTGCTGGTTCTGTCCCTGGGCCACCCTGCCCCTGAGTGGCTCTGACTTACTGCTGTCCAGCCTGCTCTGGAGTGTGCCTTGCAAGGGGTGCTGGGTGCTCATGTGACCACCAGGGTTGATGTGGAGGGGGAGTTGTGTCCCAGGGTGAGAGGGGAAGGCAGACAGCTGCCTGCTGGTGATAATGCAGCAGGGGAGGAGGACTGGGCAGCTGTACCCTTGTTCTTCCCCCAACAGGAACCATCTGTGACCAAGCCCAGCTCTGTCTTCCCTATCACCCATTCCGGTCTGACTTTCCAACAACTTCCCCTTCGCGCTGGCTTCACTTCCCCACTCCGCGAGCGGGGCCGGTGCAGTAGCAGCCGCAGCAGCGGCCAGCCTGGGGTGGCGAGTTCTTGTTTTCCCGCGGGGGGGAGGGGGTCAGGGAGTGCAGGCAGGAGCGGGGCCTGTCTGTTCTACGTACAGCGGGCTGGGCGGGCGGGTGCCTGCGGCTGTTCTCGTCTTGAACTTGTCTCTTCGGGGGGACTTCAGGAAGGCCTCAGAACTGACATGATCCTGCCTGGCCTGGCGCCATGCCCTGGGCCTGCCGGCACACATCTGTCATGCACCCCCTGGACTGCAGCCCTCACCCAGCCACAGGTCTCTGCTGCACCTCAGTCATCTCTCAGCTGGAGAACTGGGAAGAAATCCCCCATAAGTCTTTGCAATCTGGAGCCACTGACTTTCTTAAGAGGTCCTGGCTTCTCCCATCTCTAGTGTCTCTTAGCTCCTGCCTTCTCCCCCATCCTGGGCTTCCGTTTGCCCCGATGCTGCTGACACGCGGGGTGCAGGCCCTGGGGAAAGGAAAGGACTTGTTAGAGAGAGAACCGAAAGGCTGTACGTGCGTCTGCAGGTGGGAGGGAGGAAATCTGTCCTAAAAATATAGCCGTGACTGCTCGCTCCCCGAAGATGGCTCAGCAGATGGTGTGTCTCTGCCTGCCACCTGTGGAGTGTGTGCTCCCGCAGATGGTGTATGTGGTGCTTCCACTTTCACACTGCTGCCCTGGGCTTCCTGGCCCAGCCCTGCCTTTTGCTTTCATCAGCATCTCCAAAGTGGCTGGGAAAGATAGCAGCAATGTGATCTCCGAGCAGCTAGAGCCTGGGGCCTGAGCAGGGTTGCATGCAGTGTGGCCTCTGGGGAAATCGTAGGGACTTCCCGGTGATAGATTGTGGGAGGGAGCCTGGCAAAGACCTGGGGCTTACAATGGGCTAGCGCCCATCTGCGTCCTGGCGCTCTTCCCAATGCAGCCAGGGACGATGCGGCGGGAGATGCTCTACTCCCTGTTAATGCATTAATGCCTTCAGTCGGTATCCCCAGGGGGACGGGGAGTTCTTCTCCCTCGCCCCCCCACCCTGTCAGAAGGGGAAGTGACGTTCCCATTGTGGGGCCTGGTGTTACCAAACGTGAGCATGGGGGGAACGTCGGGGTCACTGCAAGGCCTGTCTACACTGCAGTGGTACAGCTCTGGTGTGGACCCTTCCGAGGGGTGGCAGCTCGGTCAGCAGAAGCATTCTTCCATCGGCCTGGCTGCGTCTGTGCTGGGGGATCGGTCACCCCAGTATGGCTCAGGGCGCAGATTGCTAGGTTCATTGAATTTGTAGGGTCGCCTAGGCCTAGCTTTTCTGGCTGGCTGCGAATCGTGTACCTGCAGCTCCCCTTCCGCTCCCTACTCCGTGAGGATGAGGGTCCCCTTTGCCTTCCTTGAGAGCCCGGTACAAGCTTCATTCTAGTTGTGAACTCTAAGGGGGTGAGAGCTGCTAGCAGGCAGGGTGGGGCCAGCGGCTGGGTGGGGAGCCAAGAGCCAGAGAAAAGGATCAGACGGTTGAAAAACCACTAAACAAAGCAGCTGGGTAAGAGAGTATAGGGGCCTGCTCCTCTTGGGGGGCGAGAGTCCCCTCCATGGGATCTCCGTGTTCCCCAGCACTGCTGTACCCCGGGCCAGGCGGCAGCGGGCCAGGCCACTCGTGCGCCAGCTACAGGGTGTGAAGTGTGCTGAGCCCAGCAAGTCTCTCTAAACCGTCGCACTTCTGGAGGATCCAGGAGATCTACCCTCTTTCCCCCTCCAGCCCTGCAATGCATCCTTTGGCTGCTGGGTGGGAAGCGCTGGATGAGCGCGACGGTGCTGTTTGGTGGTTCAGGCTTGGGCCGTCTTTCGCTAATTTCTGAGTCCTCCCCCCCCAGCCATCCAAAGACACCCCCGAGAGCTAATCCAGGAATGGGGGAGGGTGGCCGCAGAGCGAATCCCCCTCCAGGAAAGATGGTGCCCCTTCACAGCCACACCCGTAGCAGAGAAGAGCTGCTGTCTTGGGGCTCTGATCTCACCTATGGCTGCTGGGCAAACAGGTGCCAGCTGGGCCCAGCTCTGAATGTTTGCCTCATAAAGCTGCTGCCTCCAGACCAGGAGGGTTCTGGTTTGAGTGAGCATTGGCAGGGCATAGACACGGCCCCATCTGCTCACCGGCCATGGGTCCCCCGTCCCCAGGCTGAGAAGGCTGGAGTGTCTGGCTGGGGCAGCCAGCACGGAGGGCCTGATGTGGGTCCCGCCCTGCAAGGTGCAGGGTGGCTTTGTTACTGTTTAGTTAGGGCTCTGTTGTGCTGGGCGCCACGAACACAGAGGGAGACCCCGCCCCGGTCCTGATGACCTCGCAGGCTAAGCAAACTCCTGCCGGGTCAGCCCTGTGTCTGGTGACGCCTGTGCAGGCATCCGAATTCTTGCTGGCTTGTGGCCTCACATCAGGTTGAGACCTTGGCACCTGTGCTCCGAGCGGGGAGGTTTGAAGTCCAATGCTTCATGCTGACGAAAGGAGGCTCGTAATGTCACCAGCTGTGCTGTCTCGCCTCTTCCCCCTTTTATTTTTAGCTTGGATAGCACCATTGCTGCTTACAGGGCAGGGTGTGTGCAGACAGCTCCGCTTTTGGGGAGTGGGGGAGGGTGACTTCCAGCCCTGGGTTCATGGATGGGGAGCAGGGGAGACGCCCCAGCGAGAACCGGGGTCGGAGAGTGACAGTCGGACTCCTTTGCAATCAGGTTTTGCAATCAAAGAGATGAATTTGCAATCAGATTTTGAGAGTCAGGGGAGGGGGGGAAGAAACTGCCCATGTGGAATGCCTTGATTGTGAAGAGTGAGTAAAGGCCAGGCTGTTTGGGGGCGTTTCCTTGTTGGACCCTAGCAGGATCATTCTCAGCAGCTGCAGCTCCTGTATCCTCCTGATTTCTCCCATCACCTGGAGTAGGTTGGATTTTCTCAATCAGGCCAAGCTGCTGTACACCTGCCCTGGCCCAGATGCTTTTTAATATGCATCAGTGATGTTACTTCACTTTCCCTTCACATTCGGCTCTCCGGTCCCTCTGGAGCAGCCATTCTAGCCTCTCATCCTGGGCTGGGAGTGCCCATCCCTCACCTCCCCCGCCTTAGTTTCTGTCTGAGTAACATGCACATTTGTTGCTGAGCAGAAAACCCCATCAGGTTAAAGGAGAAGCGGAGCCAACTCTCACATCCCCTGGCTAGTCAAACCAAGAGAGTGAAAGGAAACAAGAACCCCCCATGAAACAGCTGGCCGGGATTCGCTTTGTTTCTCAGACGGGATTGGTTTTGTCTTTGCATTTGACGGTTGGCTTATCTGTACTTGGCTGTGGCATTCGCTCGGCAGTGCGGCCTTTCCTTTATCAGCATCTTTCTTCCCTCCTGGTGTGGGTTGGCTGGTTGGAGGCAGGCAGATTTACGCAGAACAGACGTTGTTCGCTCTAGCGTCTTCCTTACTAGCCTGTTTTCTAAGATTGGCCTTTTGAAAGGGGAAGGAGAAATACGCTGAGATACTTGCAGTCATTTTACACTTTAAAAAGAAAACCTGCTTTGAGTTAAATAAACCAGATCAAATGAAATTGCATCAATAATCCATGAGTGAAATAATAATAAAAATGAGCTAAATAATAAATGAGAAACGGAGTGAAATAAAACTGAACTGTCTCTTGAACCTGTTTAGCGCTTTATGCTAAAAAATTGAAAGTCTTATAATGCCATGTTTCCAAAGTGACTTCCCCCAGCCCCAAACCGCAGCCCCTGTCTAGCTGTGCCCCACAGCACTGATGAGAGGAATTTAGGGAGGTGGAATGGAAGGACCATGCGGGGATGCTGGAGCTCTTGCAAAAGGGGCCTGGGATCTTTAACCAGGGATGGGCTGGGAGTTCATTTCCCATCTGATCAGACAGTGGCCCTGAATGACTCCCACAGTTGGCCAGAGCCATTGACTCAGCTCTGCCCCCAACCTGCTGACTAACCCCGGGTCTGCTTGGCTTGAGCGAGTCGGCGGTTCAGAATGGACCTCAGCACACGGGCTTCCTTTGGTGCTGGAAGTTTGCCCAGGCTTGGCGCCTGTCAGATTTCGGGCTGGCTCCTTTTCCTAGGTGCCTAGGAACGATTGCAGTCAGGCAGGAGAAACCGGGCATGGGGAGAGCCCAGGGCCGTGTCCACGTGGCGTCACTTGACCGACAATTAACGTAGGCGCAAAATCAGGTCCCAAGCGGCAGGAGATAGTTCCTAGCCCCCTGAGAGCAGAAGCAGGCCCATAATCTCTGACAGGCACCAGCCCAGCCCCAGGCGAGCTTCGAGCACAAAAGCAAAGGGAAGCCGGCGCACTGAAGTCTGCTGCAACAGGTGCTCGCTTTGCACCAGGCCCTGGGAAGCTCTCCTGCATGGCTGTGTCCGCAGCGGGGAAGCAAGAGCAGTAGTTGCAGCGCAGCGTTGTGTCCGTTAGCAGGAGCTTAGAGGCTCCGGTTATCTCCGTCCCCAGCTGTTCCCAGATAATGACACCGAATGGCAGAGCAGATGCCTGATGGCATGCGCTGTGAGGCAAGGAGCGGTGGGGCTGGAGGAGGCGGCAGTGACTTTCAGAACAGAGTGGGGTGGGGGGAAGGCATGCGGTTTGCAAAGGGGCAGAAACGGGGGGAGATGGTGAAGCTGGCAGGATGCAGAGTAAGGGGTGTGTTCTCTGGAAGGGCACATATTCTCTTCCGCCCCACAGGGCCTGCTGCAGAGGCTGGACCCCACGCCTTGGGGCAGGGGCACTTGCTTCTCAGCAGGGACTTCAAAGGAATGACTGTAGCATTGGTGAAAGGTACCAGTCCTAGGAAGAGACACCTCTGCTCCCCTCTCCCCACCCCCTTTGGCCAGAACAGGTGAAATGGGGCAGGAAAACTGCAGGCTATCCCCACCTCGCACCACGCCAGTAGGCACTGCAGAGAGGGACAAGGATGAAGGCTCGGTCTGGTTTGCTAGTTAATAACCTCGGAGCCTCCCGCCTGTTTCTCTGGAAAAACAAGACTATCGGCTGGGGGATTGGGCAGAGAGGGATATGTGGTTTTTTTCCATCAAAAGGGGAGAT